CTGATCTACATAGTGAGACCCTGTACCAAATACATTAAAAACAACAAGAAGACTACCTGCCGCTTGCTGTGTCACGCTATAGGACAGTGCTTCTAAGCTGGCCTAGGTTTTCACTGTACTTCCAAATCTTTTGTCTTTCTCATTTATTTATTTATACACAGGAGTTCACTTATGAAGTTAAGGCAGGGGCTGGCCTTGATCTCAGGGAAATCTCCTTTCTCAGGCTCCTGAACATTGGGATTATAGGTGAGCACCACCATGCCTAGTTTGCTTTTTTCTCTTTCATGTGTATCTGTGTAGTCTTGGTACCAGTTTGGTGATACTGGTAATAGCGCTATGAATTAAACCCACAACTACACACTAAAGCAAATTAAAGAAATCTAAAGGTTAACTGATAATTTGGGGCAACTGTTAAATTCCACGTCAAATCTCCGTATTAGTTCAATTTAAAACTTTTAATGGATTACTTTAAGCTATGCTTCTAACAAAGTCATTGTCTTAGCTTTTTTTTTTTTTCGGAACCAGGGATTGAATTCAGGCCCTTGCGCTCGCCAGAGAAGCACTTATTCCACTGAGCCATCTCCCCAGCCCCTTCTTTTTGCTTGCTATCACTCCCTTGTGCATGTTTGCTTTCTATGCTGCTTTTATTCCTCTTCAATGTCACTTAATATTCTTATAAAATCTTTTAGGCATCCTGTAGTTCATTAATTTTTGATATGCTTTCCTATAGTTCTTGCTAATTTCAATTATCATCTTTCTTGTACATTAGAAATCTTGGACATTTCTATGCATTTATATGCTTAATAATAATCCTCCCTATAGGGATTTCCTATAGTTCAGACTGGCTTTAACCTCACACTCTTCCTGCCTCAGCCTCCCAAGTGCTTCGGTTACAGGTGTGCACACTACATCCAGCTGATGATTTTACACTTCTGATTGAAAAGAACAAAGGTCCTCCCCCAGTGTTTGCAAATCCTTGTTCAACTGATATTTCACATTAGGGTGTTGTTCCAAATCTGTGGAGTCTCGCAAAGCCACTAAATTGCTGAGGTTGGACTTGAACTGTGATCCTCCTTGCCCCGGGATTACAGAGTGCACAATCATGCCCCACAATCCTTTTAATTGCCCTGAGCTATGCTAGCGGTCCTGCTTCAGGGAAGGAAATTGGTTTCCTTACTGGGTTTCTCTACTCAATGCTGCCCTCTTCTGTTTCTGCAGTGAGTGCAATCTCTAAAGTTTACTAGAATTGAGTTGTTATTTTGGCTGTGGGGTTTTTGTGATTCTGTGCTAATTTTCCTGTTTCTGTAAGTCCCTTAATTTCTGAAGCCTCTAAGGAATACCCACCCTTCGAGGTCCTGCTCTCCAAGCTCCTCTCAGGAACCTCGCTTTAGAATGGCCATTTCTGGTCTCATAGGCTTCTAAGTCTCTTAAAAATTTACTGATTTGTAGGAGTTCATGTTTGCAGTACAGGATTACATTCATCATGGAAGCTGGTACGTGTACACATCATACCTACATTATTTTTCCTCCCTTCTGCCTCATCCATATCTTTGTCCCTTCCCATTTATAAAAGCCTTATTTCCTTTTTGGTGTTTTTTGTTGTTGTTGTTGTTTTGTTTTGTTTTGTTTATTTTCGGAACTAGGGATTGAACTCAGACCCTTGCACTTGCCAGAGAAGCACTTATTCTACTGAGCCATCTCCCAGGCCCCTTGTGTCATTTTTTAATCCCTTTCCCTTTCGTTCTTCCCCCAGCCCACCATCTTTGTGTGTGTGTGTGTGTGTGTGTGTGTGTGTATCCAGCTCAGCCCACCAGGGGGCGGGGCGGGCTGGCATGTGGTGCTGGGGGATTGAACCGCGGTCCCTGTGATTTGCTAAGCTTGTTCTAAGTAGGTGCTTTAGACCACTGAGCCATTTCACCAGCCCCAGCCCACCACCTCTTGTTCCTCTTCCCATTTGACAAAAAACTCCCTACCTCCTATTTTGTTCTTTATATTTGTATTTCTCCTATAAGAGAAACCAATCTGGGTGTGGTGGCACATGCCTATAATCCCAGGATTTAGGGGGCTGAGACAGGAGGATTGTTGCAACTTTGAGACCAGCCTGGGCTACAAAGTAAGCTTATGGCCAGCTGAAACTGCACCTGTGAGACCCTGTCTCAAAAAGGAAAAAAAAAAAAAGAGGGAGAAATCATGCAGTATTGAAGCTTGTGTGTCTGACTTATTTCACTTAGTACAGTCTCAAGGTGCATCCATTTATCTGAGTCCTTTGTGGCAGAGCACTGCATTATATGTAACTATCATTTTCTTTCTCCGTTCACTTGATATACGTATTTGCCACTCCCAAGATTTAGCTATTATGAGGTGCGCTACTATAAACATAGATATCCATGAGGATGGCAGCTCTCCCTTCACTGAGCCTGCTCCTGGTTACTAGTCACTGAGCAAGGAACCCCATAAAATGAACACAGAAGCACGAGGTCTGCTTGAGTGACTCAGCATCAGGACATCACTCCTAGGCGTGCTAGGGTTGGCCCATTCTTTGCAAGGTGGACAGGGATCAAGGAACTGGACATGAAAGCAGTCTTTACACTGCCACTAATGAGCCTATCAGTTCCTCACTGGTTCTGAAGGCTTCTGATGGGAAACAAGGTAGTTCATTTCAATTAAAAAAAAAAGATCTAAAAAACAAACAAACAAACAAAAACATAGATATCCATGTCTTTAACTCTGTTGAGGAAAGATACCCAGAAGGGAAACAGCTGTGTCAAAGGGAACTTCTAGTTTTCATTTTTTAAGGAATCGCCATACTAATTTCCATAGTGGTTGTACTAGTTTGCATTCCCACCAGCCATATAGGAGGGTTCCTTTTCCCCAGTCTTCACAGCATTTGTTATTGATTTCTTGAGATGGCCATTCCTGCTGAGGGAAGATAGAATCTGTGTGTGGGGTTTTTTTTTTTTGTTGTTGTTTTTTTTTTTTGAGTTAGAAAATCATTCTGCACCATTTAATCAAGTGGGGGTCGGGCAGAGTCGGGGAAGGCGAGAGCTGGAGCTGCGAGAGCTGGAGCTGCGAGAGCCACCTAGCGCCGGCTGCGGGCCGCGCGGGGCCCGGGCTCCAGGTCTGCGCGCTCGCGGGTGAAGTGGAGGGAAAATGCGGAGCCAACCGAGCGGGCATCCCACCGGCAGTGCACAAGGTGGAACAGGGGAAGGCGATCGGCTTAGGGAACGTCAGACTCCGGGTAACCACAGCCGAGGCGAGGACCTTTTTTGCTTATAAGGCACTCCTCTGTGTGTGGTTTTTTAATTTATTGTACTGGGAATCAAAGTCAGGGCCTTGCACCTGCCAGGCAGGCACTGTGCT